GAGAGGGAGGTGCTGATCTCTTCTCCCTGGTATCCAGTGATAGGATGCGTGGGAATGACTCAAAGCTGCACCAGGGGAGGTTCAGACTGGACATCAGGAAACATTTCTTTACCAAGAGGGTGGTCAAACACCAGAACAGGCTTCCTAGAGAGGTGGTCAATGCCCCAAGCCTGTCAGTGTTTAAGATGGATTTGGACAATGCCCTTAACAATGTGCTTTAACTTTTCGTCAAGCCTGAAGTGGTCAGGCAGTTGGACTAGATGATCGTTGTAGGTCCCTTCCAACTGAAATATTCTGTCCTATTTTATAAAAAAAGAATACCACACAGCTACATATAAACAAATATATTTTCTAAGTAAGGTATCCAGATGCAGAAAAAGAAATCACAACAAAGTAATCATGTAATTAATAACTATCCCATAACATATATACACAAAGGGTTTACTTATGCCGCACAGCATAAGTAAATATGCTGTGCATAATCTTAACTCTGGTTTGTCACCTTGTAATAGCATTGTTTTAACATCATTGTGGTAGCTCTATTTTAAAAAGCACTTGACAAGGTTAAAACAAACAAACAAAAAATGTTTACATGCACCAGTCCTAGAAGAGTATGGGACCTTTCCTTCACTTCCCTAGTCGTCTTATTTAACTGTTACTTTTCATTCGTTCCCATTCTTACCTCAACTTCAATACTAACAAGTCTGGTAAAGTTATAAGCAAGTCAGAGTGTCGTCTTAGAAAGAAATATCAGAAAACCTTAACGTTGGATGGACCTATCCATCCTGTTAATTAGCTATATGTTTATCACCTTGTGCTGTACAAAGACCTGCCCTTAGACAAAGCATTCCTTAAGGCAAACCACGCAGCTCATCTAGCCAAACAGGAAAATCTGACATGTTTATAGCACTGAAAACAGAAATGAATTCATTTATAAAAAGTACCTTTTCTGAGGATCACCATCAACTTCAACTGTATCCCTGCAGAAACAGGTAACAAAGTAAGCAAAATGTAGTTTGAAGCACAAAAAGATTACTTGATATACCCAATGAAAAAAAGCCAAAGAAAAATTTTAGTGGAAACCCCACTAGATTAGTTATTTTCAGCAAGAACATTAGTTTTTAGAAACTAATTTCTAGTTCTTATAAAACAATACTTTTTCAATTAGTATTTCAACTTGAACATGAATTTTTTTTATGACAGAAGTTTCATGAAATCAGAGAGAGATCCAAACTTCAGGGAAACACTATCGATGAACCAGCACTTTTACTGAACAGGTAAAAGTCAACAAGAGATACTGAAAAAGAGACTTTTTTTTCAGAAACTAATGTATTTCTGGAGTTTTCAGTGATCTACAAGATACACTTGAACCTCCAAGTTGACAATTATATCAACATCCACAGTATGGCTACATTCTGTAGATCAATGGACTATATATGGAAGAAGCAGTGATTAAAGAGAATTGCTTTAATAATCACAAATACATGTAAATTTCCTACCTCCCCCGCTTTTTTAAACATGAATTTTCCACACTAGTTTGGAGATACTTGTAATGCACTAGATCTGCAGGCTGACTTGTGTCCCTTACTTCTGGCTGATTAAAGTGATCTATTCAAAGCTGTATTAAAAAAAATATTTTTCTATGTAAATGATTATTTGGTTAACTGGCATCTGTTTGGCAGTTATAAAACAGGAGAAAACAGTTGACAGTATCATCTCAGTAGTCAAGCATGACCCACTTAAAAAGACTGAGTAGTAATGTAGGACAGTCCTCATTTTTAGGTCACAGGTCTGTCTGGACATTTAAGTAAATGGCTGCCCTAGTCACTGAAGAAGCAGTTCTGATTCTGCAGTTCTAGATCAAAGAGCTTAACTAGTAATCTTGTTTCACACTTTAAGGTGATATTCTAGTGTGCACTTTTGAGACTTCAAGCAACTTGGTAACAATTTGCTGCAAAGAGAATTTGCCTTTACTAGCAGGCAAAGAAGGGGTGGGGAAAAAAAAGAGTTAGTATTGAAATTTCAGCATGAGACACATTACCCAGTCACTTCAGGCCAGGAAACGGCATTATAGACATATATATATATAAAAACAACATATATCCCTTAGATTTAAGGATTATTTTTTCTATTTTTAATAACCCAGGACTGTCAAAGAATGCATTTGGAAGAAACTGTAATAAATAATGGTAATAAATAAAGGAAAGAAGATTAGACGGTTACCATGTTGCATAAATAACAGCTGAATGTCTCAAATTTATGTCGAGACATATACAGAATTGATTTACTTACTGGTTATCAGAATCACTTCCTTTGCGCTTCCTTGGAATCTCAGCCACAGAAGTGTTGAAAGAAGTGGTGGTAGCAGGCTTAGTTACTGGATTCATGAGGCTGGGGACTCCAGAAGCAATGCACGGGTTTCCATCTATTGAGAAATTATCTGTGAACGAGGAAAAAAAAGCTCAGTGTCCAGTAAGTGCTATATAATCGTGTATCCATTCTGATTTTCATTTGGAAAAAAAAAAATTGTCTGTGGCTGGCTTCTATGCCTCTGCACAAAAACCGTAAAGGTTACACTGCTACAACCCAAGTACAGAAAAGAGTACACTGTCTTCCCACAGTCCTGTAACGATCTCATCAACCAAATCAACACACCAATGCAATATAAAATACACTATTCTCCTTCTTACACAATCTTAGCAGACTACACTTAAATCCCCCAGCACCTCAAACATCCTGCTGCAAAATCACAAGATGTGGCATTAGTTAGCAGATCAAAATACTGCGACTAACACTAAATTAAACTTAAAAAATATATAGTGAACTACGTTTTTTAAACAAGCTGGACATCAAAAAAAAATTGAAAGTTTGCCATAACTATGTTTCTGACATAAAATCTACAATTACACATAACGTCAGTCATGTAAGTCGGAAGAGTCTTGAAAGCTTGTCAAGTTCTACCTCAAAGTTCCCTTCACAATTCTCCTCTTAAGGAAAACTGCTTTGTTCCTGGGAGGGACAGAAGAGAAGTCACAAGCCAAAATAATCCTACCGACCTACTGGAAAGGAAAACAGTCTCAAGGAATCTAAGCACTATCACACTTTATCTCAATGCAAAGTTATCACAAAGAATCACCCAGTTGATGTCCAGGTAAAGAATCAGAATTAACTCTGTTTCAGCAAATGTAGGCACTCCTTCAGGCTTCATGTGCTAGCGAGGAAAGTATCCTATGTGATACATCTCGAAACAATAAAGAATTAACTCCATGAAGGGACAGATGAGGGATTGAGAGAGGTCATTTAAGGAAGTGAGCATCTCCTACTTTTAGCAGGAGGCAAAAACCAAGATGAGTACTTTCTTCATTGTGAGCTTTCTTCTTTTTTAGCATCTGGGCTGTCTGTAAATGATAGGTAAAAATGTGTAAAAAGAATGCTACACAGTGTTTGTTTTTTTCCTCTTAGGTGTAAGCACATCTTACACCAGAAAAATTACCTTCTAGGTTCTCATTTTCTGCTGAAATACGACTCTGGAGAGTTAAATGAAAATAGGCTAATACTTGAACAACAGCTTGCCCAGTCTTCCACTAATCCTCTCTCTACCAAGTCAGACTACACAGAGTCAGCCCCTGTTTTATTTTAGAAAGCTCTTTAACTCATTAAGTCACACAGGAAGTTCCAAAAAAAGAGGTGGAAACTCAAAGAATCAATAAATACTTGACAAATAAGTAACAGCCTTTGGGCATCTGCAACAGAAAGAAAATTTGGTTACTTCAAATACACAACATATTCAAGTTAGGGATATTAAAAATATAGCAAAAGAAATGACATCATAAATACTACAAGGGCACAAATGGTAGACGTTTGAAATATTTTTATGATTAATCGTCACTTCACAATAGACTCATTTTATATTTCTACTATAAATTTGTGCAATTACAAAACAAACAAAAAACCTCTAACAATTCCAAAGGAACTCTTTATTTATAAAGAGTAGTTTAAATTCACTTACATCATAGCAGCCTATAATTACTAGATTAAGTTATTGAAGTATAATCATAGTTCGTGAATATTCATGAAAGAGTACTTACTAAACAGAAATCTACATGTATCAAAGACAAGAATGCCTTCAGCACAACAGGTCCTTTTGTCCTGGAACAAAGCAGGACAGAACAGACCCACTGACCTAAATACTCCTTTGCACACAGATGGCCAGCTTGCTTCCTAAACCACTTCCCTTTAAAGAAACAAAATGAAATGCATCATTTACAGCTTTTCCAATTTATCCTTCATATTATCAAAATAACTATTTTTTCCTCACACTCAAGCAACAAATTCTGAATACTGCACTTACCTCCTCTACATTTCCTAACAAAACCCTCTTCTCTTTCTTAATTAAGAAAACCAAAAATGTTTAGATTATCAGCAACAATGACCTATTAAGAACTTCTACACCACAATTTTTAGGTGATAAATTGAATCCTAAATACTATCACTGTGACAAACTAAATACCATGTTAAATGCCATCTAACTAAATGCCAGTAAGATAGCTGATTGATCTTAAACAAAAATATAAAGTTAAGAATCTGTATTGATCCCTGACATGTACAGTATGCAGCATATATTCTTTATATATATTCTTTAAGATTCTCAAAAAAACCCCAAATCAAGCCCAAAAAACCAAAAACAATGCAAAAGAAAACAAACAGAGAAATTAATTTAAAGCTTCAGAACTACCATGCTTAGTAGAAAAGCAATTATTTGGAATTTAACAGACAAGAGCAAATCTTTTTAATACCTACTACTCACTGAGTAAGAAGCAGACAGAAACAGTTCATAAAGCTAAGTCAGCTTTGAGAAGTCAGTAAGAGCACTTTAAAATAATCTCTTAGGGCTTTATAATAGCTATCATTATGATACTAGGTGATTCCAAGGTGCTTACTCTCACCCTGAAGAGTGTCTTAACCTTGTGTAGTCTGTGATGAAGGATTTCTTTACTTCTCCGGCTTTGGGAGAGCTGGATAAAGAATTTAAAAATCTTTGGGTTCACAAAGCAAACGAGCTAGAATGCACCCCGATAACCAGGATGTGCTTCTGTGATAGGAAAAAGCCGGATTCCTACCTTTCATTTGTGCACCTGTCTGAATTTCTTGTATTTTCAATTTCTGTGAACATTTTCATACCATTAATGTCAAAACCAAACACCCTTAAGAACATATGAAGCAAAACTGAATGTTTCCCAATTTCATAGCACTCTTGCTTCATGAAAAATAATATCCAGAAAGACCATTCTTTGTTACAAGCTTATTTTCCTGGAAAACTGAAATCATTAGTCAATTTTCAAACTACTAGAAACAGTTTAGTTCAACTAGAGATATTTTGTTTTACCACCCCAAAGGCTATTTCTTACACTAGTCTGGTTTGCAAGTCAAATAAAATTCCAACTGAGAAATGACACTTTTTTTAAAAAATTATTACTGTTCATTTCAAAGTTTTGCTAATGCCCTGGCATACTGATAACCAAATTTTAATGGTAAGTGAATAGTTCCTCAAATACGTATGTCTATTTATGATCTATGCTTAGCTCTCAGTATTAAGCATATATGCTTATCTATATTTAAAATATTTTAAAATCATATTATGCACATCAGGACAGATGAAAGTAATACTGAAAAAACCCCACTGTAATCATTCTCTCTGCGAAAAAGCAAAGACCATCCAAACATTACAAACACACCATACTAAAAATAGCTCATTCCCAGTAAGTGTATTGGAAATAAAAACCTATTGTTTTAACACTAACTTTAGTATATTTCATAATTAGACAAACAAAGTATTTAAGGAATGGTTATCAATATATACAGTTCTCATCACATCAACATATAAGACCATACCCTACTGAACTACAATGTCTCTCATGTTTTTCTAATAAATAAATAAATAAATAAATAAATAAATAAATAAATAAATAACAGTCCCCAAGGTGGCAAGGAAAAATTAATAAATAACAGTCCCCAAGGGGGTTGGCAAGGAAGTGAACAGCTGCAAATGAGTTACTTGAAACTACTGTTTAGGGATGGGATATGAAGTAAAGATGTAAGAAATCAACCGTATTCTTATGTTCAGCAAAGGTTCTGTGTAAATCCCATGCAATGCATTAAGAAACAAGGCTTGGGAGACTCTACATTTTTCCAATTACTGACAATAATATTTTCTAAATGCATGCCACATTCCTGAGCTGTTTTCTCCACTAACAGTTTTAAGGTTTTCAGTTCCTAAACAAACACAATCTATTAGAAAAGGCTTATGGCCAAACTCCACCAGCCATAAAAGGTGAGATTATCTGAACAAATAAAGATGTCCACATCTCAACTAGCCATTCTAGTCCCTCTCGGAGGGAAGACGACATTTCTAGGGTGATTCATCTCAACCTAAAATAGATTCCTACAGTGGGCTAGATGAAATACAACATTTCTAGGGTGATTCATCTCAGTCTAAAATAGATTCCTACAGTTGGTTAGATGAAATACAGTCCAAGAGTGCCTACCTCTATTCAGTAATTACATAAAGACCAAAGTAACTAGCTCAGACTTGGATATCTACTCTGTAGACATCGGAAGATAAGTGAGATGAATCCCACCCAAGGTGGCTATAGAACTACCGTGCAATTCTTAAAATATAACGGCCACAGGCAGCACCTGTTTGTGTCACATGCAACAAGTTTAAGCCCAAGACAGTCTTTCAAAATTATTGCCTTAATTATGCACTACCACCTCATGACCCACTCACCCCCCTGTGAAAGGTTAGCTTTTCTGGCTAGGTTTAGTCCTCATAGGCTTTCCTAAAATATTACTTTAGTACTAAAACATTATTTTGACTTTTTAGAATCATCAAAAGGAAATCATACAAGATACAAATAAGCACTCCAAAAATCAGCAGAAAAACACTAGTCATGTAGGTATTAATAAATTAATTAAAAAGCTGTCAGTCAGCCCTTATTAGCCAGGTTAAAAAAGATCACCTAAATCCATCAGGATATTACAGTAAAATATGTTTGAAATAAAATGTCAATGAATAAGTGCATTTATAAAACTTATGGGTCTCACTCTTCATAGTCTGTGAATAAATGTACACACCAGACTTGGGAGAAATGTCACAGCTCTGCAGCTGCTTAAGTTAACAATGTGGTAACACTGGCACAACCTTTCTAAGAATAAGAAGACACTTTCAATCCAGCTTCCTATTTTGATACATTTTCTGGTAGAAGGAAAGGAGAAGAAAGAAGCTGCTTTGAATTGAAATTTCTAAGACCACAGATGCCACAGATTATTAAAATGTGTATTTTCCCAGCATGCACAAAAACCTTTAGCTAGAAATTCAAGCTTTGACAAGTTTAAAGAAGTCAAAATTATGTTAGAAGTGACTGTAGTTAAAG